TTTAAAGACTATTTCCAAATGGTTCCGAAAGTTTCTGATGGTCCATTTTTACATAGAGGATGAGCCCCGATAGGGTCAATCAAAATCTTCCACTGATGACGTCATCGTAGTTCTGGTGAAATTCAAAACTTCACGAAGATCCACGATTAACACAAGAAATCATTGCTAATGAATTGGGCTTGAGTGACATAACTGTATCGCGAATATTAAAAAACCATCTGGGGCACAAAGAAATCTGTTCGATGGGTACCAATAACATTAAATGAGGCCCAAAAAGAGGTTCGGGTGCATTTTGCTCAATTTTTCCTAAAAAAATCGATAATGGTCAGTCTAGCAACTTTAGTAAAGTCTTTAAAGGTAGCGAATCGTGATTCTGTAAGTATGATCCAGAAACCAAACAGCGGTTCATGGTATGGAGCCTAACAAGAGCAAGCCCACCTGTAAAATCTAAGCAACAAAAATCAGCAGAGAAAGTAATTATGTCAGTTTTCTTCACCTGACCTAAAATCGTAGCTACTATTCCACTGGAAAAGGGTCAGAAGGTGACTACGAAATGATACACCGAAGAGTGGTTACCAAAAGCTTTCAAAATTTTTTTTTGAAAATAGAAAGAAATAGGATTTGCGGCTCAACTTTTTACATCATGACAACGCGCCATCCCACACTGCTGAAATAACGAGTAATTTCATTGCGGTCTCTGAGCTCGAAGAAATACGTCCAGCGCCATATTCCCCCGGATATATCACCTTGTGATTTCTGGTTATTTCCATAAATTAAAAGGAAAGGTCTTTAATAGCAACGAGAAGGTAATTAATGCGTTTAATGCTGAACTTGATAAGCTTTAAAAGCTAGATTTTGAAGACTGTTCTGAGAAGCGTATCTATAGGCTTGAGAAATGCATTGAAATCAATAGCGATTAAGTAGAGACAGTAAGAAAAGACAAATATTGCTAATAAACACAAACCAATTTTTCTTTGGATCAACTAATCGAACTTTTGTTAATCCCCTCGTATCGGTTTTTTCCGAAAATCTTTTCCATCCTTTGCCTGTATGATATATTATCACATTGCTGAACAAGTTACTGATATCATCGACTTAAGTGTCACAACGGAGCCTAAGCTAGATTTTAGAAATCATATAAATGCTTGTGCTACTAAGACAAAAGGCGTTTCAGCTGCCATTGAACGCTAAGCTAAGGAGTTCAAGGACTCTTACATTATCAAATTACTCTTTACTTCACTTGTTAGGCCGCACTATGAATTGTATCTGTGTAGTGCAACAGTCCGGACTGTCACTGGTTTTCGGTCACCGGTCTATTGGATTTTTCGATTATCCTCAGATGCGCCCTCGTTCGGTTGGGCGGGAGATGCGTAACGCTGGGTTCGTCGTTAAAAAGAAACGGTGGACAACAGTGAATGCTGCAACACGGAGAGCCATGAGTACAAAGCGCGGTAGCTAGGGAATGCCAATATCTTCTAGTGGCATTGAAATCGTGGGAAACGCAACATTCATTGAATTTATTTTGTTATAAAGAGCTCGACCTTCACTTGCATTTATTTAATTTTATTTATAACAACCAACAATTAATACTCATGCTGCTACTCAAATATTAATGAAAACTGTGACTTAAACTAATGGAAGAACAGAAAAATGTTTAACACACACCCTCATACGCTCAGGTGAAAACATATTGATATGAGGAAAGAACAAGAGGCGGATTCAAAACCGCAATATTGGTGTTTTGTACACAACTACATGGCAACATGCTCGTTAAGAAAAACAGTATGGGCCGACGCTCGAACCCTGAGCACAGCCAAAAGCTAGAAAAACTGCCAAGCGCATAAATGTGCACAAAACCACAATGTAAATGGCGCAAAGGTGCAAATGAACAAGGATACTTCGAATATCCACATAGCGACCCAATTTGTTTCACAACCATTCGAACGTTTATACATACATACACGTATGTAGTACAGGGTGAAAATGAAAATACCGGAAAGTGCAAGATAGGACTGTGACAATAATACATAGCGAAACAACATAAGGAAAAACCGCCAGAAGTTAACTGTGTGAAAGACAAAGCAAAATAAAGAGGAAACCGTTGGATGCCAACCCAAGCCAAGCCAAAGTGTCCTCTACTCCCGCATTTCGCAGAAAATTACACACGTACACAAGTACATATTTGTTATAGCAATACATAAATACCTACTGTATGTGAGAATATATAACGGTATATTCGACTATTTTCCGGTTCTTTCCCTTGGGCTATTAAAAACACTTCCGGAACTTAAACAACTTAAAACAGTTTTCCCTCACTGTAACGCGAAATTTTTACAAAGCAACAACAGCAAACTAAAAAAAAAAATAAAAAAATTCAAAATTGACTTGAAAAACCTTTAAATATATGTACATATACATATACATATATGTATCTACATTCAGCTCGTTCAGTCAATATTTGAATATTATTTAATACAGCAGAAACTCAAATTTAGTGTTGGGTCTATGATGGGAGAGACTCCTTGGACGAGTCCTTGCACTCACCGCAGTCCGCATCAAAATGATGCTCTTAGACTTTTGTATGCTTTGGTTATGAGCTCCAAGAAAGCATACGTATATATAAACGCTGGCCCCGCCACGATGTCAAAACCGTTTTCGCGATACTCAGAATTTAGTCTCAATAACAAAGCATCCGCAAATGAGGTGAGACTTCGAACTTCGAAGGGACTCAAAATATGTTTTTTTGTAGCGTCAAATTCCTGCGCAAGAAAATTCATTGGAAAATCTAGCAACCTAATCGTTCATGCTGTATTAGATGCCTAAAAAAACATACAGTGCTCTAGATGTGCGTACGTTCCTGGGACCTAGCGTCAACAGGGATCATTATCTAATCTCAGCCAAGATATGCACTGGTACTGCGCACAGCCAAGACCGCGCAGCAACAAAGCAGCAATCACAACAGAGAGCTAGTCGGTATATGACTTGGCTTACTTTCTTAGAGTACTCATCAGATGCTCGACATAAGGGTACTGTAGAAAGCCATTTTAAGTTTCCTACGTACTGCCATTTGAGGAACAATTGGTATAACACAATTTCTAAAGAACTGGTATGATGAAGAATACTCTGCTGTAGTGGAGTGAAATATGATTAGCTACCTCCCAATGTAAAAAGACATCATAATGTGTGCGAAGTGGGATAGGTATCAAGATCTCAAGAGGTACGCAATATGCATTTGTAGAAATAAAAAGAAAGAGACCGAAATGTATTAGTATGAAGAGATTGACGTTGCTCTTTATGCGCGTACACTCCGAGGACCCAACATCGATTCGGACCACTATCTTGTTGCAATAGAGATAGTACCCGATAGCACAAAAAAGTTTCGAAGTCAAAAAGCTGTAAACACAACGGATAGCCGAACGGGTTTTTATTCAACGTGTACTCCTGCTCTTACAGAGCACAGATCAACAACTCGGTATAAAGAAACTGTGGGGCGGGATTTGATGCTCGCTACGTAGAGCTGCAAACGAAACTATTGGTTATCGAGAAGATCACAAAAAACAGCTGGTACGATGTAGACTATCGTGCTGGCTGCCTACTTCACAACCTTTCGATCGACCACAACAGCTGGGAGGTGGGATAGATACCGAGAGCTGATGAGAGAACCAAGACCCATTTGAAGGAGAAAATATAGACTGCTCTTACAGAGCACAGATCATAAACTCGGTATAAAGAAACTGTGGGGCGGGATTTCATGCTCGCTACGTACAGCTGCAAACGAATTTATTGGTTATCGAGAAGATCACAAAAATCAGCTGGTAAGATGTAGACTATCGTGCAGGCTGCCTACTTCACCACCTTTCGATCGACCACAAAACCTGGGAGGTGGGATAGATACCGAGAGCTGATGAGAGAACCAAGACCCATTTGAAGGCAAAAATAAAGACTGCAAAATGCGTGAGTATGAAGAACTTAAGAAACCGGTCGATAGGTTTATTGCTTGAAAATTCTACAAAAAGATAAGGCGACTCACGGAGGGTGCCAAAGTGGGGCATCCGTAGGGGTGATATAATGACAGATGCTGGATTTATGGAGTGAACACTTATCCAGCCTGCTGAATGATAATGAAAATGTAGCACTCGGAGTTGGTGAGCCTGAAATCCCAATCGATGACGATGGAAAAGACGTTACACTCCCCGTCTATATTCAGGTTCGAATTGCGCGCTTTAAGAACAAGAAAGCGGCTGGAGCTGACGACCTATCGGCAGAGCTATCCAAACAGGACGGTGACAAAATCGATCTATCTGCAAAAGCTGCTTGTAAGTATTTTTCTGCACATGTTTGCATTTATTGCGAAAGTTACATGGATAATAATTGACGCTTTGTAGCGGCTGAAGCGATTTTCAGCTGAGCTCCTCCTCCAATTGGTCTTTTTGCGTCTTGATGTTTTTTCCAACAAATGAAGGGACCTACTAATCGGCCTCCGAACGGTTGATGTTTTTTCATGAGGAGATTTCATGTCATGAGTGTATTTATGGAGTGGTTGACATTCCTTGCCGGAGGTCCACCGCAGAAAGTTGAATTAAATTTTTTATTTAAATTCATTTTCAATAATTTTGGATATTGGTCGGACGAGCATTCGAACGCTATCCTTCCGAATATCACACAAAATTTATTAATAAATAAAATATCAGAGCTAAAAGTTGCTCTTTTTGTATTAGACTGTTAAATTTACTTTAGTTTCGCCAAAATGCTCCTTTCGAATAATATTATTTCTCTACGATTCTTTTTTTTAATTTAGTCATGTTATCATTGTCGAATATAAATATTGAAAATTGTCAAACTGAACGATAGTTTAGGAAGACCAATATACCAATGTTTAAATGTTACTTTTCTAAAGAACACAAAGCCTCCCTGTGGCTGAGTTAAAGTGATGTCGCTTAAAATAAATCAACTAACAGTCAGCCATAATAAGCAGATTCAAATACTGACTACAAACTCACCTTCAATTGCATTCCTTCATTCGGGTTATTTTCTTCGGCGCCTTGCTTCAGACCACTCAGAAAACGAGCGAAGACTGTGCGCCGTTTGTTCCGATTGCGACCCTCTGGTTGGTATTGAAAAAAATAATAAGCAATTATTTATATGCAAAAACCTTTACGAGACAATGGAATAAAAATATATTTTGAAAGGCAAATATAAAAATTAATTTAGAAAATACTAAATTTATTTTCTCTCAACAAACGAGGAAAATTTTCTAAAAGTTAATTTAAGATAGATTTGAGTTTTTAAGTTCCCGCTACTCATAGTTATTTTTGTTATTTATTTTTGAAATAATAATTAAGCAATTTACTGGATCCTTTCTTTTCTTTTAATAGATAATAATAATAAAAAAAATACCTACAGTGGATTAGGAAAAGTGAGTTATCAAAACAACCATTGGCGAGCGCTTGTCTGGTAAGAAATTAATGTGACATTCCATAAAAGGGCTCAGTGACGAAGTTTGGAAAAAGTAAGTTATCAAGTGCAATAATCAGTGTGTTTGTATTGAAATATCCAAATAAATTTCAAAAATTTATAAAGGCGTAAAAGTACTTTATTTTCTAAATTTTGAAATTGAAGTGGTTCGTAAAGCTTTGATTTTTTTTTAAATTTTTTGAAATATTTATGCGCTTTTTTACAGTAAATAAAGAAAAAACTTATTGACAAGCACAAAATTTAAGCAACTAACGAACGAGGAAGTTCAGCCATGATAAATTTTCGTAAAGATGACAACACACAACGATATATTGCCAAAAACTTTAATAAAAACAAGGTTGCAGTATGGTGAGTTATTGCTGACTACAACAAAGATAATCGAGTTATTGTCCGTAACAGATTGCGCGAAAGCAAACAATCACGGCCGCGTTGCAAGAGAGTTACTCTACCTAAATGAAGAAAAGAGTGAAAAACGACAGCACTGTGCTATAGACTGATGAGTTAGATAATGAGACGTCGTTATTTGCGCTCATCCAAAGAAGAACAAGTGCACCTCACGCACAGTTAAGACGGTGGAATAGGGTTTAATAGTTTGGCGATGCTTATTTGCAAATGCAATATTGTGTTTCTGGAAGGAAAAGTTACTGCTGTTGTTTATTTAAATATTTTAAAGGAGCACGCCATTCTCCTGGGTCAACGGCTAATTTGACCATGCTCGCATTCATACCGCAAAAGTCAGCACCGAATACCTAAAAAATTAAAATGTGAGTGTGTTAAAATGGCTTCCTGAAAGTCCTGACTTGTCATCAATTGAAAATGCGCAAGCAATCCTAAAAATATTTCTAGCAGAAGAGAGACCCAAGCCAGGCGGATATGAAAGACTGCATCTAATGGGTAATTTTTTTTTTTTTTTTTTTTTTTTTGCTAATTATTTTTTAGCTAATTATTAAATTTTAATATCAAAATTTGTGTTCTGTTAAGAAAGTTCATCGCGTGTTTCTTCAGTTCAAGCTCATTTTTGGCTTAATGGGTGCGTAAATAAGCAGAATTGTCGATTTTGGAGTAAAGATCAGCAGAAGGGGTAAACTATCAATGTATAATTATGGACATTGTGGATATTAAAGAAATTGATAACTTATTTTCCCACCTGAAATTTTCAGTATTTTTGAATTTCTTTCTTTTTTTTCAAACAGATAATTAGATACCTTGAAATATGGTCTCAATCTTGATTTGTTAGAAACTCAATATAAAATAGACAGAAAAAGATTTATTACATTTTATCCAAGGCGAATTTATAGAAGGTGAAGTTGTTGCTTGTTCCTCCTTCCATTTCAACAAATTACACAAACAAAATACATTGAACGAATTTCGTTTTTGACTTTTCGAATGCTATACCGCCTGAAAATAATTTTATTTTCATTAGATTTCAGAAAAAACAATGCAAAGCTTTTGAATTTTTTGCGCGTACGTTTAATTTTTAATTAATTTTTTTTTTAAATAAATTGAGAGCACAAAAATAAAGCAAAAGTCAAAAAAAGCCTTTTATGCCAGATGGTTAATATTTTGGAACAAAAATTCGAGTAAAACTATCTTGTTTCTGGTGTCCATGATGAAATAATATACAGGCGAGTCAGTAGAGTAGAAAGAGATTTTGGCACTGCCTCAGCTCGACGGCAAAAGGGAGGAAGGAAAGAAGAATCGGAGATTTTTAGGGGAGAAATACATATTTTTAAGCAGAAAAAATAAACTCTTCCTCACTTTCTTTTAATAAATTGCTGAAAGGTAAAACCTTGTATATTTCTTGCGGTATGAAAGCAAAAACTTTTAATAACATGTACTTGAAATGTACAGGGTCGGATTTTCATGCATTCCACGAAGCTACGAATCATACCAGAACTTTTGAATAAAACACAGTTTGCTCTAGATGTCAATAGGTATAGGTGGAAAAAATTTCCCTTGAAAGTTTTCTTTAGCAGAATAATAATGCTTACCTTACCAGCTATTTGCTCGTGTGGATGGATAACATACGGTTATTCATTTTATGTAAAATTTTGAATAATTACAACTTTTACCCTACTGAATTCAATTTTTTTTTAAATTTCCAAGCCGATTTAATATATGCATATTATGAGAAGCATACAGATAATATTGATGATTTTTGGAGTTAAAAAAAAAAAACTGATTTCTTATAATTTGGATGTTGGTTGAACCAACACTCGAACTCTGGCCTTTCGAATGGGAGTACGCTAACCACTCGGATGACCGAATGATTTTACATATCCATATAAATATTTAAAAGCTGCCAGTTGGGATTTTCACTTAAAGTCCATCACGCTGGTTAAAAAAATTTATGTTACTGGAAGAAATTTTAACCAAAAGCATTTTCATAAATGTTGATCTGCACATTACAGCATTGTATTCAACGCAGATACCTAGAACTCAAAACAGTGTCCAAGCATCGCCTCCAAATAGTAATTTTTGGTAGAAGCAATTAGTAACTTCATTGTATAATAGTTTTGAATTTATAAATGAAACTAATTTTTTCAAATTTTATATTTCGTAATGCATCTCAACGGGGAGTTTCCACAATTATATATACTGGATATAATTGCAATATAATGGCAATTCCAAAGTTATTGGATGAAACTAAACATAATCGATGATCACCGCTAGGTCATAACAAATTTTCGCTTTCGTTAAAGACGCGACACTGGCCAATAATGAAATGCATTTATTGTAAGTTTGTGTTTAACAAAATTTATATTATATTCAATTACTACCGCGTTATATTGGTTTTACTATAATTTTTCAAAACAAAGAGATCAACAAAATCTTTTTTATAACGTATTGTCGTAAAACAAACATTGAAACACCTCCAGTAATGCCAGTTCTTTTCATTGATAAAAAAAAACCTTTCAATTCTCCCAATTTTCTACGATTTATTTTAAAATTTGGGGACAAAAATTTATAAAAGCAACATCTTTTGCTAAGGCAGCGTGTGGGAACGGGACAATTGCTTACTTACTTCACCTGTATATTATATCTATATATGTACATCATCATGTTTTGTATCATGCTCTTAAATAAAAAAATATTTTGTTTGCAAAAGTTTGAACATTAAAAATTTATTCACTTCGCTGTTTTATATTTCATTTTGATAACTTACTTTTTCCACGCACTAAAGCCAAAATGTACTAAAAAACATTAAAAAATTAATTTATGTTAAAAAATAACTTCAATTTCTTCTTACGTGCGACCCACAGTTGTTATTTTCTTGTAGTAAAATTATTTTAATATGAAAAAATTAAATTATATCTTATTCCTGCAAACCACTGTAAATATGTATGTATAATACCCTACAAATACTAATATAAGTTTTAACAATTCGTATCGACAAATTCATTAAACTCCTTCAAGCAAACACTGCGTCAGCCTTTTCCATTGTTCACCTACCTGTTGCCGAGAAGTCATAGAAGACATTCCGCCTGGCGCCAGGATAGCTGTGCTGCATGCCATTCAGGTTAACCGCTGATTTCGAATCAATTGCACTTCTGGCCATGCGATTTGCCAAATCGTTTTGAGCAAAGCTGTAGATTTCATTCTCCTCACGATTCGAAAGGCAACTCGATGGCTGCAAGCCGCACAACACACCAGAAAGATTGTTTTTTGGAGGACAAAAAAAAAAAAGAAATTAAAAATACAACAAATTCAACAACATCAATTGATAAAGTGCATGCAATAAAAATGGCGGAAGGGCGAAAAAACGAGAAAAAAATGTTAATTTGAGTTACATTTCCTTGCATGTATGAGCATGTATGAGTGAGTGTATAGATAGCCTCAGTTAGTGTAGTGTACGTACCAAATATTTCCCAGGCACATACAACGGTTGGCTGTGACTTGTCGGCAGAGTTGATTGATTTGCGATATTGCCGCCAATAATGCCAAATCCGACACCTACGCCGCCACCGCCGCCCATCATGCTTGTCATGACATTGACACTAACGCCACCGCCAACGCTAACACCACCACTGCCGCTGCTGCTGCCACCGGCACGTCTCGACAATGTGTGGCCGGTTGAAATGCGCACATGGCGCTCCTTCCACTTGGAAATGCGCACCTCTTCGATTGCGTCCAACACGTCCTCGTACGGCATATTAATCTGTTTGCTATAGTGAGCGGCCAAGCCTTCCAAATAGCCACGTTTGCCCTCCTGTCATGGAAGAGTAATGGAAGCAACACACAGAATCAGTGGTGAGAAAAAATCTTAAAAAATACTGAGATGGATCAAAAATTTGAAATGCAAGCAGCATGGGCCAGCAGTAATAAAAAGAGTTGCACTGAAACACTTTACAGCGGCATGAATTTGAAGCGCAGGAACGTGAGGCGATGCAATCGCTTTAAAGTGATGCAGAAATACTCAAAATCAAATTAGTTAAAATGCAAAAAGTAACAAATAAAAAATAAATGAGAAAAACAGCCTTTTAATACATATTTAAGTAATTTTGATCTTCAGAGTGATTTTCTCATATATAAATAACATCAGCACGTTCTAAAATTGGCATCTGGTTGTCCCCTAGCAATAGCAACGGCATCCCCTGTTACCCACCAACCGTTTTACCTTGGGGTCGGCTTACGATGTGTCGTTGACTGGCGGCGTGTTAATAACTTGTGGTAATTAGTAAAGAGCTCCCACTTCAGCGCAGACAAATATGATAAACACTCCTTCTAGCCATATTATTCATTTATGCATGTGCCCCTATATGCGGCTGCAGGCTCACACATCATACATGCATACATATGTACGTAGGGCGAACTTAGTCATGTCACCAAAATGAAACAAAATATTTAAATTTGTAATTATGTAAAGCGTTGAGTTGAGTAGTTTTTGAGTTGATGAGTCATCGTCGTCAAACTTCAAGCTGCTTGCCGTGTCTGAGCCACTCTTGTGAGCCATTGCTCCCGCTACTGCTGTCTCAGCCTTACCGCGCCCCCCCGTTTACACTCATTGCCCCTCTTAACCACTTGACATTGAACTGTCTTGCATTGCTGTCTGCGACTCGGTAGGCGCCTTTGGGGAGGTTTGGGTGCACCAAGCCGCCGGCAGTTGTCTATGCAAATATGCTAGTGTGTATGTAGAGCTGAGTTTCAGGTGGGTTCGTGTGGTGCGGCTTTTGTACCTTTGAGAATTTCTTGAAGTGCAATTAGTTCAGTTGCGCTCGAGTGATCTGACGACAAAATGCATAAGCTGCTAGACAATTTGATAGAATTACACATATATTAGTGTCATGTGTGACTTGGTGCACTTATACTTTCAAAAATGCGGTGAGTTCGGGATGTGTTCGGAATGAGTGGTAAAGGACGCCACTTTGGATGGTCTTGGTAGACTGAACTGGTTTTTTGTGTTCCAGTTTGTCCAAGGACAAATAAGGAGACTAATTGTACTCTACCGAGCAGCTGAATTAGTTTAATGCCCAACACTATAGATTAACTTACACAGCATGGGAGCTGAGACTTTTTTATACGCGAGCACAAGGCGTCTGTATTGAGTTTTCATACCCCTATAAACCATACTTGTATTTGAAAACACACTATTAATTGATAAATAAATATATAAATATATAAATAATGGGCCCTTTGTAACGGCTCAAGCGATGTCGGCAACTGCTATCATGGGGTGAAGTGGAATGCAGTCAAGCATCTGAGTATGAAGTTACAGTCGCGGGTCTACCTACGTCGCACACTCTGGAAACGTGAGCAACCCGGCAAAGATATTTTCGGTGCAAATGACAGAAGATTTGGCACCCTCATCGAAGTATTCCTTAATGGGTTGAGGTTGATCGACTTCGCCGAGGCCCGAAATATGGTTGTCTGTAGTACCAGCTTGCAGCAGAAGAAAATTTACCAAGCTGACTCCAGATCGAAAAACTCACAACCATTCCGATCACGTTGTGATAGCCGAGAGACATGTATATAGTGTTCTAGAGGTCCCAACATCAACTCGGATCACCATCTCGTCATAGCGAAGAAACGCACTCTCCTCTGTGTATCAAAGAACGTCCGTCAACTAACAAAAGGAAATCTGCAATCACAACAGAATGCTAAGCGGTTTTCTACTCGACTTGCACTCCTGCTCTCTGCTAAGGGAACACTTCTCCAGCCTTACGAATGGTTGTGAAATGAATGATCAATCCATGATGATATTTTTGGCATTCCATTACCTCACTATGACGAGGTTCGAATGGCGATTCCCCCTTTAAATAACAACGAAGCGGCTGTAACGGATGGCTTAGCGGCTAAGCTAGCTGTAAAAAGCTATTTCGGATTTTTCGATTATCATTCAGGCTGGGTTCGTCGCCGGAAAAAAAAAACATTTAATAAATTTTGGAAAATACCCGAGTTTGGTGGTTAACGAAATATCTCCTGTAGTCGTAGATAATTTCATCTATCTTGGAGCCAGTATTAATATATAATTTAATAATTAAACGGAGAATCATTCTTGCCAACAGTTGTCGGTTGGTACTGAGGAGGCAATTGAAAACTAGAGTTCTGTTTCTAAGCGTCTATCGGGAAAAGTAACGTCATTTGTTTGGGGACTATTTATGCCATTTAATCTAATTGCACCATATGCTTGTTTTCTCCAGTTTCCCAACCATTCATCGATGAAAAGTAAATGATCCCTTATATTTTTTATGAATTTCTATGACATTTATCACAGCGTAATATGACGTGGTTCGGTTCGTTTCACTGAAACATCCCAGTGTACAATTATATAATGTGTAACATAGCCCCAAGAACACTTGGTCTTGATGAACACCAGCTCCTACGGGAAAATTGATATTAAAATAGTGTGGAGAGGGAAAATTTTACTTATTTTGTATAATAATTTATATAAGATTGGGGAACAGGAGGGGGACTGTAGTTAAAAATAGGGAAAATTGATGTCAATAAATGTAACCGTTGAATTTATTCTTCGACCCGCCTGGCTTTCATAGAAGTTAGGGAGTTAGCTAAGAAACATTAGGGAGAGTTCACGTACTCTCAAGGTCACAGATGGTCAATAATGAGTATTATTTGAGCTTATCGAGGCGTTTGCACGAAAATAATCTCTTGTAAGCAACTAAAATTGTGGACCACAGTTTCCGGAAACATTCATGACGATAGCGCGCACAGAGCACCGAGCTGTAGTCGCTACTGATTTTAATACCAAAAACTCGTTCAACATCATCAATCAACCACCGTATTCACCAGATTTGGCCCCACGCAACTCTTGTTTGTTTCCAAATGAAGTTATCACCCTGTGAAAGCCCTTTCGACTCGATTGACTCCGTAAAAGAAAATTCGCAGAGGGAACTGAGGTCGACTGATTTCAACAGCTGCTGCAAACAAACTGATTGACAGATTGCGCTAATTTTTAGCATAGTATCTAAGGACAGTGTTACCAAACTAAGGCAGTTTAAATTATAATTTCCGGAAACTTTCTGGTCTTAATGTATATGACATATGTATCCGTGACCAAAGTGGTGGAGCGAAATATGGCTTCAAGAGGTTTTGATAAGCCAAGCTTGCACCCCTTGGGAACTGGCATGTTTCAGATGTTCCAATGCCTAAAGGTATACGAGGGATATAGAGTATAAGATTTTGCACGCTTAAGGGGTAAGCCCACTCTAGAGGTTGCAAACCAGACTCATTTTTAAAAAGTTGTGGTAGGAATATGGGAAACGGAATAAAATTTGTATTGAACCATTTTATTGATCATATATTGAAGTATAAAAAAATATTCTTTAATTATTATTTTGTTACAAAATGGCGGCGATAAGGTCCATTATTTAAACCATGTTTTCTTGAAAGGCGCCCCCAGGAGGACCGATTTCTTCTAAATTATGAGAAATAGAACAGAAAAGCAAAAAGTTTTATGAACTACAAACTATGGTCTTTGGAAGCGCGTACGAATTTATTTTTTAATTAGTTTTTTTGAATGCGGTACACTTTTTTTTAGAAAAACGAGTTTAAGGATTTCATAGTACTTAGCGCATGCTCTGAGGGGCTGCAGAGAAAAAACTGCAGCTATTTTAAATATTTTTTTCACTTCAAAACCAATTGCACATCATTTCCAGGACCCAAATTCCTAGCATGGTTTCACCCCTTAAACATAAGCCCTGTTGCCAAACTTTATTGAACGTTTGTACTAAGTCAAGAAATAATGCACAACAATACTCCTTAAGGGGTTACATAGGTCTTGAAACTTCAAAAAAATTAATTTTTTTTGATAATTTTTTGTATAAAAGTACAAAGTGTCAGTGATATTTTCCCCAAGTCTCAAGTCGATCGGGATGAAACTGTAGAAATTAGAGAGTTTTATTATCCGCCGTCTTTGTCATGGCTTGACCGATGAAAAAACTTAAAACACGTTTTTCTTAAAACCACTTTATCGAAATCGGTAGTCAAAATTTCTCGAAGACTATTGAAGCGATCGAGCTCAAATTTTTCACACTTTTTTTAAGCATGTCTTTGTAGTCCCTGAACGAAGGATTGATTTTATCTTTGATTTCAACTCATTTTACAAGCCAAAACGTGGCCTGAATTTATGCAAAAAATTACGTTTTTTGTAAAAAACGCTACAAAAAATAAATTTTTTTCACCCTCTTTAAGAAAAAATTTGGATTTTCGATTTCAGATGAAAATTGAAAAAGTTATCATGACTACCGCGAAAGCACTTTCTTGTGGACGGTCTACTTCACGACACTGCCAACGCTTTAACTTATACTATTTTTCATAACATTTTATCCACATATTGTACTTTTATATGTAAACAAAATAAATTGTATACTTTATTTCGTATCTTTTAAAAAAATTAGAGAAAATAAGCTTTTTTTTGGCCTTCAAGACCTATGTATGTAACCCCTTAAGCTCGAGAGCCTTCTTTATTTTTTAAGTAAACTTTGTTTTTCACAACAACCAAATTAGTGTTCTAGTATACCTTGGTTACGGTGGATAAAGGTAGAGAGGTATCTTAGATAGCAGAACTTTTTCAAATAATTTCGAAAGACAGGGTTGCAAAGACAGGGTAGACTTATTGGCCAGTAAGAAGACGAACGTGTGTGGTCCTTAAATTGTGTGATTAGCAGTTTTATCTACATCTTTTTTCACACGTTTGGAAATTAACTTCCTTTTAGAATGGCATTATAGATTTCAGAGAGCATTTGAGGTACAGTCATAGCTGGGAGATTTCTTTGAATTCGATTTCAGGGTCGCATTTACAACTTCCAGGGTTGAAGTTTTAAACCTGAGTTTCCACACCGTTCTCAAATAATTCCCTCTACAGATGACTCATTACTCGAGTAATTCCATATGGTGAGCCCCAATTCGTAAAATGAAGTATGACGGGAAGCATACCAAATAACACAGTGCAGCCTAGTCGTCTATGTAAGTTATAGTAACACGAGTATCTTCACTTTGTTGGAAAGACCAGATGAATATGGTTTCACTCGATGTATACCATATGCGTCTAAAAGGGAAAATAAGAACCAAACGTCGTATTATTGTTCTGATTTTAAACGGGCAAGCGGGTCAATGCCAGATAAGAAGCATAAGCAAGAGCCAAGGCAATGCATTTTTAAATCGTAAATAACCTAATCATCTCAGCTTCCAAATCACATAGGTCTTCTAGATTCAACAATATTTAAGAATAAATATTTAGTGAAAGAGTACATAGCATAAGCATGTGTCTGAATAGATGTGAAAACAAATATAAATACTAAGACCTGAGTAAGTGCAAATATGATTTTTCAAATGCAATGCAAACATCAATGCACTCACAAAAATTTCAACCAAAGGAAACAGCGAAGTGAATACACAAGTGTAAAAATATCCTTTCAATTCCAAGCAAAGAAACTGTGTCAATGTATCAGGGACACACTTTCTGTTGATTAGAAGCATTAGTCATGCAAAACCCCTCACAGCACAGAGCAACGGTTAGTGGACTTTAAAGAATTTATAGTTTACATTAAAGCAACTAAACCAAAGACGAAGTCATCTTCATTATCAATAACACCGGCAGCGAGCATCAAGCAGTCCTCGCGCGAAAGTCGTCTTAGTAAAGTCATCAAAAACGCATTTTCCTTTCTGGTGAAATGCTCGTAACCTTTCCGGCTGTCATATTTGTAGATGCTCTACGGATTTTTCTATAGAAATGCATACATATGTATGTACGAGTAATTATGTAAATATGTATCGACGCACACGTTCGCAAACAGCACACTAGCTTTACTGACAACACGTTACTGCTACCAAGCTACCAAGCTACCAAGCTTCCAAGGCAGCCGCAGCTGTTGAGCGCGTAATTGAGACGTGTTGTGTTGTTACATTTTGTGGCATAGATGCATTTCGTAGACAATTCCAGGGGTCTCACCAATGGCTTTACTACGCTGCCGCTCTGCACCTGCCATGTGCTGCGTCATGAAGTTGCTGCCTTCGAAAGATGCTGCTAAGCGCAAAGGGCAACATTCTGTGATATAATAAGATAACCACGCACGTTCGACATGTTGCAAAATTATTATTCCTGCTGTGGCAATTTGACGGGTAACTGTGAATACTTACATACCTACATACAGTGCTCCGCTAATGGCGCTACAATGTGTTTGCCAATCTCGGAGCACATTGCAGGGAAACGCACTCGTTGTTGGTGTGAAAATGCAGCCGTGCGCGCCTACCGTCATTCACGGACGGCACAGCAGCGTAACAGCGGAGGCAAGACTATGGGTAACTGTAATTAGCAAGTAGCTGCGCATTCGGTTGCATAGATTTAAACGTTTGTATGTGTGTGTACGTCAACAGATGCTACCATAAAGTTTACAAAGTTTAGACACTGTTTGCACAGCCGCTAGCAAGCCTTGGCTGGCAATCGATAGTCGGGTTGCTTCCGCCACTTACGGCGAATCCTCGCGTTGCGTTTATTGTTTTTTGTATTTGTATTTGGCATCAGCAAAACTTGAGACGTTAATGTGTGTTTTGGTTTATGTGAGAGTGTCTTCTTTTCGCGCAAACCGTTGATAAAGCACGTTTCGATTATGCTTAACACCGTCGCAGGTCGCATAAGTCATTGTTGATGCAAAAGTGAAGAGAATAATTCTTATAATTTTATATATATTTTGGATTAGCATTAAATGGCATTTTAATTTTAGTCCAATATTTTGTGGTACTTTCCATGCAGATATTACCGGAATGACGGACAGAGCTGATCCAGTCATGCCCGAAATGACAAGGTTGGATTATAACTTCCCCATCTAGGTACATACGAGCTGTGACAATTAAGTAATGAGACTGAATCCATAAAACCGTGCATTTCAAAACTGCTCTACCGCTCAAAGTAGTGCCCTTGTGCAGACATACAACGATTACATCGCGTTTTCTACGCTTCGTAACATTTCTGGAACGCTTCGACTGGACCGTTCGCGAGTATGGCCGCCTGGTGTTCTCAATCGATTCAAAATGGTTTCTTTTGTCCACGGATTTTGTTCTAGGGAACAAAAAAAAGTCACAGGGTAACATGTCGGGTGAATGAGAAGGTTGTTGCCACACGACGATCCCTTGAGAGGCCAAATACTTGGACACGCTGACGGCGGTTTGGCACGGCGCGTTGTCGTGATGAAGGCTACGGTTACGAGCGATGTATGGGCGCACCCTGTTGACTCTTTTTCGCAATCTTTCCGGTACCTGGCGATAGTTGACTGGACTGGCACCTCGACTGGTCTCCCGCTCCGCGCATCGTCTTTCACGTTTTCATGCCCCTCTTTATGCTATTGTAACACCTGGGCACGACTAAGAGCACTATCACCATGCAATTTTACAATTTTAGCGTACTTTTCCGAGGCTGTTCGCGTTGCTATTGATTTCGGTTCGGTTTTGTGACGAGCACACGTTTGCTCAACACGACACAGCAGCCGAACTAATCAAGCTAGAGCGATGGCAAACATATCAATGGAGAGGATAAGGATGCCGGGAGAAGGGAAATAAATTTCAAGTTCACAGGGTTACCATAATCGCAGCAATATAATCAGTCTCATTACTTAATTGTCACACCTGATATAAATGTGGAATTTTGAGCACCCCCTGCGGGTTAGGGATTCAAGAATTTGCCCGCGGTAAGGCATGTCTGTCGTAAGGTACTTTGGGGAATATTTTTGTGGTTACAACAACAACAACAGCAACATGATTTTGAGCGCTGCACACAAGTAGTAAACAATGTATTGATTTACCCGACTATGACAAGATGGAGGAGCCGATAACTTAGCGACTGAGCTGTTAAAACATGACGGTGAAGAGCTGGACCTTATCAGTGCGGCTTTAGACCAACAATTCAAAAATTAACCAGATATTCACCATGCGCCAAATCTTGGAAAAGACCCGTAAAAAGAGGATCGACACTCACTACTTTTTCGTAAATTTTGAAGCCGCCTTCGACAGCACGAATAGGAGCTGCCTTTACGACGCTATGTCTGAATTGAGTGTATCCACAAATTTTTACGGCTGTGTAAACTGACCTTGAGCAATATCATAAGCTCCGTCAAGATCGGGAAGCACTTCTCCGAGGCGTTCGGTACCAAACGAGGTTTCAGACAGGCTGACTCTTTATAGTGCGATTTCTTCAATTTGATGCTGGAGAAAATAATAAGAGCTGCACAGCTGAGTAGAGAGAATATAATCTTCTATGAGAGTGTACAGCAGCTAGCGTATACCGATGAGATTGGCATCTTCCTCCAGACTTTATAAAGAAGCGAAGCGAATGGGTCTGGGTCCCTCATCGTTCCTGCTTTATGATACGGTAGCCATTGAGGAAGAGTCGGAGTTAAAAGCTTTCGAGAGCAAGATTTAGCGTAAGATTTTTGATCTTCTACGAGTTGGTAACAACGAAACCCGCCACCGATGGAGCCATGAGCTAAACGAGATATATATCGGTATTTACATAGCTCAATAGCGAATTAAGATACAGCGGCTACGCTGGCTGGGTCACGTTGACCGGATGGATTAGAGTACCTCAGTTCTGAATGTTTCCGATGCGGGGCCAGCGGGTGAAAGCAAAGAAAGAGGAAGACCACCACTCTATTTGTAGATTGCTGCCAACCCACAAAAAAGGAATGAAAAGCACGCGGTTGTTAACTCGGCAATAATCGCGTTAGCGGTGTCAACGTCAGTAGGAAAAAAAGAAGAATATAACAACAAATTGTCTTGGCCTCTGAATTATACTCATATCAAACTGTACCTTGTGCTCCGTTACATTTAAACAAGAAATTACTGTGAAATGAAATATAAATTGCCATCGCATTGCAAGCGTTCAAAATTATCCTGCCAATAAAGATACATATATGTACGTATTCCCTCACAACCATGCGAAGCTATATGTGTAGAACACTAAGTCACCGGTAAACACCACAAAAAAACGCCCGGCTGTTAATCGGAAAGTTCAAGTCCATGGGGCTGAAAACGGAATCGCTTACGCAATCACGTCTCCAAATACCAAAGAACTACGTTCTTTTGCCCCAAAGACCGTGTGTATATATATACTCATACATGTGTACATACTTATATTGCTTTTGCACAATAAATGTAAGTTGGTGGAATTTATAAAGTGTCACAGCAAACAAAGTTTCACTTGGCCCCAGCAATGTAACTCAAGCCGACGTAGTGTTAATTTATAGTCTGCTGTGTTGACAGTTGTTTAATCCCAGAAGTACATGAATTTCCCATGAAGAACAATAAAGTATGCATGTCAGACGTGCAATAGTAGCGGTATTAAGCAAAATTTAAAGCTTTACAATGGTTGCAGATTTTCGCCTTTTTTTATATCATAAGAATTTACCTTACTCCCAAATTCATTTACTCACCGGCGTCGAGTAGGGATGCGCTGTCAATCGAATACCATCGGCTTCCAAATGACGTTTCATAACCGCCTCCAACTCCTTCATCGTGGTGGGCGCATCACAGTCGGTAGCTAGAATTTCATTGCTACTACTCAGCGCTTTCGGATCATTGATCATCACATATACAATAGCAGCTCCCTTCTCTCGCAATGAACGTACGCTCTTCAATAACTTGTTACGATGATGCTGTGTATCCACACCAATTGCATCCAAATCAATTTCACCAATTTGCTTGCAAATCTCCAATTCATCGTAGCCGTTCTCCATGAAACTGTCTGCGTATTGTTGCATACCGATGGCGCGCAGCCATTCGCAAACGATGTTGTTGTGTGGCATATTGGTGTGTTCGTATCACGTGGCCGCTGGCCCACAGCTGCCGCTGTTGGTGGACGTTGTTGGCAGTGGAAAGGTGATATCCAGCGGTGCAAAGCTTACCTTTGGCGTTTTGATTGCAGGTTTTGTTTTAGTTGTTTTCGTTGTTGTGACGCCCGATACCAAGGCGGACGCAATCGGTGCGGTGGGGGTTGTAATTTGTACACTACTATTGCTAGCGTTGTACGATGTCGCTGTTGAACTTGAACTGGCGCTGGCGCTGGACGCAACAGAGTGACTGTAACCGATATTACTTGTTGCCTTCATAGCATCTGAGTTCGATTGGTGTGCGCTGTAGGGGGCAGGATGAGCAAAAAATTACTTCAGTTAGGACATCCAAATCTGAAAGGAAACAAGAAAAATGTCCACGATAAGCACAGTCTATATGGAGGCAAATAACGCTTTGTTTATGCAATAAGTCTTGTTAACCTAACTTTTTTAGATATTTGATTCGTCTTTATATAATTTGCAAAAAAAAAAGTCGGAAGTGAGAAGACTATATTCAAAACGCCCAATATACATAATGTTTTCATCTCAAATAATAACTAGGTTACTCTCTATCTTGGTAAACAGCAGCGGAGATATAGTTTCAAACTCAGAGCAAATAAGTTACTCCGAGCAATCATGTAACCTCAAAATAGAGAGCTTTTTGTGTGCTGTGTTAAAATGGGCGTACACAGATTTTTTAGCAAACTCTCACTGGAAAGAAAAGCAGAGATCTACACCTTAGGTCCTGTTCAGCATAGCTCCACGAGATGGCTTAAATGTAAGAAAGAATTCCGAAATTTATGAAATCTTTATATTATGATTCAATCCGAGAGTACTAGGCAAAATTGATCTTTCAAGGTAATACGACGGGTCAAAAAGGAAACTAGAGGTTAAGAAGATATTTAATCTTGAGTTGAAAGACAGAAAATGAATGTACCCTAATAATAATACATAAATATTTAGTAGAACAACGTCACGATTCTTTTTATACCTTTCATTAGTAGTTCCGATCGGATCAGAACCGCAGGCTGAGTTGACCTAGTCTTGTCTGTTCTCAAAATAACTTCAACCAAAACTTTTAGGCGGATGTATTTTTGTATTGTATTGATAACTTTTTTGTTTTGCCGAAAATAATGGCCCAAGAGACCAAAACCTTGTATTCTGCATTCAAAATTGTCTAATACTAATCGTAAGACCTACGGTTACCCTCCTACCGCCCAACCGACAGGAGAATTAAAGCTGCTCAGCTTCTTATTCTTCTTCTTTCCTGACGTAGACACTGCTTACGCGATTATAGCAGAGTTAACAAGATTGCGCCATTGAATCTTCTGTTCGCTGTTTGGCGCCATTTGAAAGTACCAAGTACAGCCGAGTCCATCTCTAACTGGTCTTTCCAACGGAGTGGAGGTCTTCCTCTTCTTCTGTTTCCATCGGCAGGTGCTACATCGAAAACTTTCAAAGCTGTAGTATTCATATCCATCCGGACCACATAAGCTAGCCAGCATAACTGCTGCTTCTTGATTCGCTGAATTCGTACAGCTCATCGTTCCATCGTCTGGGATCTTCGCCGTTGCCAAAGCGCAATAAACCATAAATCTCATAACGCCGACTCATCAGATGTTGTCATCGTTCATGCTTCCGCATCAAATAGCGGGACTGAAACGATGAGGGACTTGTAGACTTTGGTTTTTGTTCGTCGGGAGAGGACTTTACTTTTCAATTGCCTACTCAGTAAAAGGTGGAACCTGTTGGCAAGAGCGTTAGATTTCAAGGCTGACATTATTGTTGGTGTTGATGCTGGTTCCTAGAATTCGATTACTGTTTGGTTGACGATAGGTCTTTCCCAATTCCGACTGCACTTCTGGTGTAGTCCAGCGTCAGTTTACATGGGCGTATAAAATTTACAGAGATACCAAATTCAGACATCGTGCTATCGAAGGCTGCCTTGAAATCTACGAAGCGCTGGTGTGTGTCGATCCTCTTTCCACGACTCTTTTCCTAGATTTGGTGCATGGTGAATATCTTGTCAATGGTTCGTTTACCTGGTCTAAAACCACACGGCTACGGTTCAATCAGTTTCTTGATGGTGGCCTTTAGTCTTTCCCACAACACACTCACACTCAATAATATTTGCGATATTAAGGAAAAAGAGGCTAATGCGTACACCTTATCAGTTTCTTACCGCCGTAAAAGCTTGGTCGGTAATTCATGTTCCTTTGCCGCTTTGTTGTTTTTCAAGCGGAACAACTTTTCCATCTTTCGAACTTACCTTTTCCGGGCGCTTCGTTTTCAATGCCATTCAGCAGGCTGGCGAAGTTTTCTCTATGTTCTCTGTGCCCTCCAAGAGTCTGCTCTGGCCTAGAAATCTTCGGTAAGTCGCCGTATCTTTTCGTTTGATTTTCAGACATAACCTTGGTCCGCACCTTGTCAAGCTATTCTTACTCACGCATCTCGGATCAAGGTCGCCTTTAGCTTGAAACACAAAAGTGTTAATATGAAGATAGAAAAAGCATTAAAGAGGAAATGGGAAAAACAACAGTCTATTGATTGGATTGAACGATTTATTTTTAGTTTTATAAAAAAATATAATTCTTAAATTTAATACTTTGGCAGGCGGTAAGGATAACAGCAGGCAAACGTGTGCACGTACCTTACGAGCTTAGCCTTAAGACATAGTCAAAGCATTTCAATATTCAAAAGAATAGCAATGAGATGGCAACCCTACACTTAAGATAAAGAGGCGAGTAGAATAAAGCTCTCTGTGATCACTAATTTTGAAAATAGAGAACGGTTGATTCGCTCGTTCTGTTTTGAATGCCAAGAAGACAAGAGGTGTTTGTTAAACTACACGCAATCCTTCAATAACCAAACAATATCTTCTCCTAACCGTTTCTTTTGAGACTTGTCACTACACCAAAATTTTAAATCCCGAGTCTATACTATACAAATTATTCAATATTTATATTGTATTTTAGTTAGTAATAGGATCTGTCCTGAATGATTGACGGATGAACCCTCAGCCTAAATCAATTTATCGTAGAGATCTAAAACTTAGAGTGAGCTTTTCGTATGTCTTAAGCATTCGGTAAAAAAGTATTTTCTGAGAGGTGGACCTGGAACTGATCTTTTCCAAAAAGTTGAAATCACTTTTTAATCATTCGATTTTCATAATATTTGGTACACAGATATCTCTTTGTCTCGGCTATTATGTGGAATAAATTAAATGACTTAAGAACCTAATAAAAATCTTATTAGAATAATCTTAAAATTCCGTGTGAAAATTGGCATTGACATACGTAATTCAAGGATGTTTCGATTCTTACATTTGGAAATAGTACCGCCAAGGCAGTTATCAATATAAATTGAATTAAATTTTAGCAAAAAAAATGATGAGGTTGAACGTTTTGTCAAAATTTTCCTCCTTCAATTATATCAAAGAGGTAGATAAATCAAAGGTTAGCATTGCGTACTGCCAATCGGAAGGCTTGGGTTCAAGTCCTGGTACGCGCTACATCCAAAAGTTATACAATAGAAATTTAATTTGCATAAAAAATTAAGTTAATTTTTCTAATTGCGATCGCCTCTCGGCTGGGAATGTCAACTCGTCCGAGTAGATTTCTGACATGAAATAAAGCTCCCCATAAAAAACCCGTCAGCCGTTCGGAGGCGGCTTAGTATAAACTGTAGGTCCCTCCGTTTGCTGAAAAAAAACATCAAGACGCAAAACAACAAATTGGAGATCGGGGTTTTTTCCAAATTCTCTTGTTTCTTAGTTTCAACTAACTAACCTCAATTACTATTTTTACCTAAATTTTCGTTTTTTTAATGGATACTGAAATATATTTTATTATTGTTTTCGCTATGGCTTCTTTACGAAGATGTTGTGTGCTTAATCCCGGTTGTTTTTGCTATATTTGTGTTGAATACATATATTCAAAATATCGAAAACTTATAACGGACTTTGTTATCAGTAATATTTCAAAATAAAACTGTAGATATAACCAGGACAAGTCATGGACTCCTCATATTATATACCAGAATTGTTTGGCTCATATGTCTACGGTTATGGAACAGTGGAAAAAAAGATTCAGTAACATTCGTAATATTCATGATTTGACGACAAACCTCGAAACCGTCATGACAATTGCCATTTCTGTGTATAAATCACGGAATCAATCCTGGAAATCGAAATAAATTATCTTCTTAACAACCTCAGTTAATCAATCAAAATCTCGAGAGGTATAACCCAGAACATCTAAATCTTCTAATGATAATCCATAATGAAGTCCATGTGAACCCAAACGAAGATCGTCGATCAAAGACTCTGATTCATACTACAAACTCAACCAGGAACCTCAATGATTTAATCAGAAAGAACTAAGTGACTATGTAAGAGATTTGAAGTTTTAACATCTTAAAAATCTGTTGCCGTATTTTTCTCTAGAAATGATTTTAGTTTTTTGTAATGATGTTGGCGGTATTTGCAAGAAATGGAATCAAAAATGTATCAACCCAGATAGTTGGCGTCGCTTCATAGATAGCCGCAAAAGAAGGATCTATAACTGTTTCAAATTTGGTAACTTTAAAAGAAGACTACAAAAATATTTCTAAAATAATGGAAAACAATAAGTATCAGGATCACAAATGCGTCATTTGGGTTGATCTGGATGTGGTTAACTTTCTGTTAGGTCAGCCAGTGGGATACACGAAATTCCCTTGTTTTAAGAGTCTCTGAGACAATCATGACAAACCGAAAGGATACAGAAGGTTTCGCCAGTGCGGAAGAAGTTGAAAGTGGGTACCGAAAATGTTATAAGTACGAAAAAAGTGACGAATATTTTAATTTTCTTTCTCGCACTTTCTGTGGCACAGATTTCAACTTGTGAAAGATCGTAATTTTATCAAATCAATGGCTGAATCTAAAGCTTGGAATTCATTTGCGTTGGCCATAAATTATTTCTTTGGCAATAAGATAT